TCGGCAGTTCCCTTCAAGACCCAGTTTTGAACAAATCGATCCTCGATTTCCCCAGAGCATGAGAAAGTATGACTTAAAATGCGAGGCTCCAGGTAACGTGAAAGCAATGTGCGATGAGAGACAGCTTTACAACAGCCATGCAGCAAGTATTTGCATTTCAACACCATTGGGATCTTCCTTTTTGACAAAAAGATATAATACCCAAAGCATGGCCAAACCGAAAGGCACATTTTACGATTGCCCTTTACAAAAGGTTCTGTTACAACAAGTATGTATGTAAGCCCCCTACAAGATAAAAACACTTAACAAAAGAAAGCCACTGGTCTTTCAACAAATAAAATGTACTCTTTTTTAAAATGATTTTTATCCACCTGCAAAGCCCCTCCAATGCAATGGAAATGTTGAGTTTTACTTTTAAAGATCTGCTACATAATTTATTTTATCACTATGGGATAAAATGCATTATTCACCACAACGCACGTTGTTTAGTCGTTGAAACAGTCCTGGTCATCTGGTTTATACCATGGTGAACAAGGCACTACTGTCTCACTCATCACTGTCTTGCACTAGCTGGCTTAATGGAATCAGCAAAGTGGTTGCATGGCCTTACATCAATCAACAGAGGCCTCACAGGGTTCAGAGATTGTGGTACTTCTTCCGGGCCCAGACACCTAAACTGTCTCGAGGGGAATAATTGGTGAAGCCAGAAGGCCTCAAGAAAATAACGGTTGAACCACAGCAAGTTTGGCACTAAAAATGGGCCACTTCGGCTTAGATTTTCGAGGCGGCAACACGCAAATTAAACCCACCACCTCCCCATCTCCACCATAATTTTGGACTATGAATTTAGGTTTTACTGGTTTAATGGCAGGAACTACCTGGGAGCGACACGCAGTTTCCGAAGTAAACAAATAAACAATTTAGGCGAATTATCTCGCAGTGATTATAACGTTAAGTTAGTTGTTAGTAATGTTTCATTTCGTTTTTCTTAAACACTACGCCAAGCACCCTCTTGTTCTGGTGGGGCTTATTCCAACCGCCTGTTCAAGCGGTGGAAAAAACGGCGTGCCTTATGTAAGTTTTTCTTAAGTTGTAAAGGATAAATAGAATCACATGACTATTAATCATAGGACAAGCACCTACTGGTTCCGGTGGGGTTTGTCTGCATGGCAAGTGTGCCAAGGAATTCCAACCTGCTATGCCAAGTGTGGCAAGTCTTTTTGCTAACAACCTTGCCTTTTTCTGCCAAGTGTGGCAAGCCTTTGGCGAGTTTGTTCCTGTTTTTCTGCCAAGTGTGACAAGTATCTCTTTGGCAAGTGTGCCTGAGTTTCTGCCAAGTGTGGCAAGTGTGCCAAGAAATCTTACAGAATTTCTGCCAAGTGTGGCAATAGAAAGTGGTGTTGAAATCAGCAAAAACAAATAAACTTGCCACTCGAAATTTTTTCCAAAAACCAAAACGTGGTGTCAATGTGTGGTTTGTGCACATAGAGTTGGAGAATAATTTATGTACATGTGTAACTTGTATCCATTTGGTTGCTTTTCCGCTAAAAAAGTGTGACCTGGAACTTGACTCAAAAATTAACATTAAGAAATTTAAATATAAGTGATTTCTTTCAGTTTTAACTATTTGTTTACTTTAATTCATGACTGCTGTCACCAGTGTCAGTTGTCGAGCCACATTACCAAGTACATAACTGTCAAAGTAAAATTGAGGATTTTTTAAAATAAATCTGTCAAACTATAGTGTGTATCTTTAAATGTGTACCGTTGGTCTTGATGTTTTTAACAGTGACCCAAAGAATTATAACACCCATACACTAACTGGATCTTCAATATTTATACAAAGCCAATCATACTTTGACAATGTTTTAGAAATGAATGAAACCAATGTGAATCCCTGTCTAAATAAATGAAACCCTTTTAAATACATCTACATGCCACTCATTGGTGTATTTTTCAGCTGTTGCCATCAAAGGAGTAACAGCAATGTGACTTCCTGCCTCACTGACAATAAACAATTTCTAACCCTAACCATGCTGAACTCAACAGGGTTATGAAGGATTTCAACGGTCCCTGGGGGTTAGTTTTATATAATTATATAATTATGGGCAGCCTCAAACCTAATGATATGGAATTCCATATCTGCCGTCGCCCGTCGTGCGTCGTCCGTCGTGCGTCGCCCGTCGCGCGTCGTCCGTCGTACGTCACCCGTCGTGCGTCGTCCGTCGCCCGTCGTCCGTCGTGCGTCGCCCGTCGTGCGTCACCCGTCGTGCGTCGCCTGTCGTGCGTCGCCCGTCGTCCGTCGTGCGTCGCCCGTCGTGCGTCGCCCGTCGTGCGTCGCCTTTCGCGTTGTTACTTTTAACTTTGACCCTTAATCATTTCACATGTACTTGTTCGATCGATCCACCATGCATGCCTGACACTCATTTTAGCAGTAGAACGAGATGTATTCGTTTTTGCAGTTACGCCGAACTCCACTTGAAAGAAGAAATAATATCCTTTCATTTTTAAAGGCTGACATCGGTAAAGTGACGTGTATATGAAATAACACCTTTTTGGGATCCATAAATAAATTAACAAAATCGACTTTTGTTAGAGTAGAATGTTTTTCTTGGGAATTTTTTTACTCTAGACGTAACTTTACTCGTTAACGGCCTGACGTTAGGCCTATAGCCTGTGTAATATTTCTGTCTGTCCCTGCACGATATCCCACAGAACTGAATGCAAATAAAACATTATTTACAATGTTTGATTCCATAATATTTTTCATAAGAGACGAACTGATTCAACATTATTTTGAGGGTGGGTATACCTATGATGAAATTTGCTGTATACTCCAAATTAGACATGACTTGAGTTGCAGGTAGGCTCACAGAAGTCTCTTAAACAGTAACGTTACTTGTTAGACCCATAAATAACGCTGATATGCTGG